TTTATCAGATGCTAGTTATATTGTTGCGTGTGTGTGTCTTCACAAATAGCAGTAGAATAGTGTTTAACCAGTGCATGATGGGAAGCATGGCAAGTGCTAGGACAGGGGAAGATAGGGTTCCAGAAGACCTCCTGGGGGCGCCTGGGTGGCTCAGTCGGTTGGGCGTCAGGCTCTTGGTTTCGGCTCAGGTCATGATCTCACAGTTTGTGGGTTTGGGTCCTGCTCGGGCTCTGTGCAGTGTCAGTGTGGAGCCTGCTTGGAATTCTCTCTCCCTCTCTCTCTGCTCCTACCCCACTATGCTCTCTTTCTCTCAAAACAAATGAATAAAAAAATATTTAAAAGATTAAAAAAAAGACCTCCTGGAGGAAGTGATACTCACGAGTCTTTCCATCTTGATTGTAAATTCACTAAACACGGCAGCTATGGCACATGGAGTCTCAGCGTGAGATTATATATAATTCATGACAAGATGGTTCTGCCATCTTCTTGTCTCCCTAGATCTGTCTCTGCGCAGCGTAGTGTGCCGTCAACAAGAAAGCTCGCAGTCAGTAAACAAGGACTCAAAGTTCACTGAGTGCAAACTGTAAAAGTCAACCAAGTTATTTGTTTTATATCAGTCCATCTAAGTGCCAGGAATTAGTCCTCTTTATTTTATCAGGAAAACTGTGGGGACTTTGTGATATGGTATTTTGGGGGAGACTTTTCATTAATAGGAATTTAAATATTTTAGAAACACAATCAACTAAATACTTAGACGTATTTTTGTGTGTGTGCTGCTTTACTAGCAGACCTAGGTGTTGCTTTGCTACTTGACGTTCGACAACACTTTGTTTTAAGTGTCAAGATATGTTTATGTGAAACCCTAATATTAGGAAGAAATCTCAAATAAATAACATATGAGACAATGGAATCATTTAGCTAGATTTATTGTTTAAAGTGAAATGGCAGAGCTCCCATATTTGGGAAAGATAAGCTAAATATTTTTTTCTTAGAAGCTCATAAATGGTTGGGTTTTCCCCATTTATGATGTGTTAGGATTGTTCTTACGTGATTTGAAAATTGTTGAGCCATTTCTAAGCAAGCCTGGGGTCCCATGGGAAATTGCTAATATAGGAACATGTGGCGTTTGATCTGTCTCTTGAGACCAATCATATTAGTCAGGGTGAGCTAAGCCACTGTAACAGAAGACCCCACAATAATGTGGCTTAACGTACTAAAAAATTTTACGTATGTAGCAATTTGAGGTACTTGTTTTTGGTCATGGGCAGCTGTATCCCCACATTCAGAAACCCAGGTAGAGCACAGTGCTGGATTTTCAACATCCAGCTTCCAAGATTACTCTGGTCACAGCATTCTAGCCAGCAGGAAAAAAGAAACACCAGGATTTCCAGGAAAACAAATGAGGTGGAAGTCCTAAACACTCCACTAAGTGCCTAAACCTCACTGACGTTTCTTGGCAAGAATGTTGTAGAACCACACCTAGCTATGGGAGGCTCACTCATTTGCCCAAGAAGAAAGGAAAGAATGTTTCTGGTGGTCTCCAGCACACTGTCATGATGTGGTGGTCAGTTTATTGGTGTCTGGTCTGTCATGTAACTTGACTTCTAATTTCAGCATGTGTTTATGATATCTTTCAGTTGAGTGAGTACCCAGCTTTGCTATCACACAATCATGTAGACTCGGTTCTGTGACTAAGAGAATTTCGCGTGGTTCTCCAACTGACTTGAACAAGCGACAGGTTCTAACATTTCTGAGAGAAAATGAAGAAATTAGACCTGAAATTTCTTGAAAATAGAGAAATGAGCTTCCAAAAGCGAATTGACATAATTTTTTGGAGCAGTGTGCAATTTCTATTGTTGTCTCTTTCCCCAGCATACCAGTGCAAGACAGGGTGTAAGAATCATCAAGCATGGCCTCTGATATGAGGATCTAGCTGAGCCAACACTCCTCCTAAAAATTACAATTATTTGGGGGCACCTGGATGGCTTAGTCGATTGAGCGTCCAACTATGGCTCAGGTCATGATCTCACAGTTCACGAGTTTGAGCCTCACATTTGCTCTCTGCTGTCAGCTGAGAGCCCACTTCAGATATTCTCTCCCCCTCTCTATATCCCTCCCCCACTTGTGCTCTCTCAAAAATAAATAAAGCATTAAAAAATATTACAGCTATTCGGGGCGCCTGAGTGGCTCAGTTGGTTGAGCATCCAACTTCTGCTCAGGTCATGATCTCCCAGTTTGTGAATTTGAGCCCCGTGTCAGGCTCTGTGCTGACAGCTCAGAGCCTGGAGCCTGCTTCAGATTCTGTGTCTCCCTCTCTCTCTGCTTCTCTCCCACTCACACTCTTGTCTCCCCTCTCAAAAATAAATAAACATAAAATTTTTTTAAAATTACAGTTAGTTGGTTTAAGATACCCCCAAATTGCTATCTTCCTTAATAATTTGTATATAATTTTTATAATAAAAATGAAAAGCAAGGGACATTTAATCTGTTTTATTAATATTTTACTACTTTGTTACTAATAAAATATTATGAGGAGGTGCCGAGGGAGGTTCTGCTATAAAACACACAAAAAAAACAATCAGTCAGAGAAAGTCAAAGACCAGCCCAGAAAATCTTTTTATGCCCCCAAAGCAAGGAGGTACTTGAGGGATGATGGGACACATCAAAAGGTCACAGAAGCCATCTTGAATGGGCTCCCAATTGACAAACAGGAGACAATTTGAGCATTGAAATAAATGACACTAGTAACCCACTGAATAAAATAAAAAATCAGGAGTCCACATAGATGCAAAAGGTGAATATATAATGGATATTTATATCATGTCACAAAATATTTATTACAAAGAGGCAGTGACTTTAAAGTGGGGGAACCCGGATAACATTGCTTTGTTTAATCAAAAGGCCAAAGTGAATGGAATCAGTAATGGCATAAAAGGGTGTGATGGTAAGAACAGAGCATCCCTTCTGTGTTACTCCTGCCAAAGATGCAAAACCTGAATCTAATCATGAGGAATTGGTAAATAAATCCAAATTGAGGGGTAATCTACAAAATAACTCATCTGCAATTTTCAAATAGGTCAGGTCATAAAAGCCAAGACAAAGGACCTGCTAAAGACACATGACAACTAGATGCCACAGATTATTCTGAACTGGATCCTTTTGATGTGAGGGACATTACTGAGACAACTAGAGAAACTTGGGTCTAAGAACTGAATGGCAACAATGCATCAATATTGTTTCCTGATCGAAAATTGTAGTTGGAGAATTTCCTTGTCCGTAGGAAATACACACTAAACTATTCGGGGACAATAGAACATCACACTGGCAACTACCTTTAGTTTATTGGAGGGAGATATTCATGTTATAGTTTTTCTGTAAGTTTGTTTAAAAACTACACAATGATAACTACAGCTGGTGAAAACTTCCAGCTCAACCACTGGGACAGACTCTGGATAACAGAATTGTTACACTCATCCAGACAGTTGAAAATGTTTCTAGCAATGAGGTTAAGCCTGCTCTGGAATCTTAAAAAAATAATCTTGTCATGCTTTGATAAGTATCCCACTCCCAGAAAGAGATCAGTGGATGAGTTTTCTCTGCGAACTCTGGTACTTAGTTTGGAAACTATTCTTAGTGCATTTGCAGAATTCCAAGGTTATTGTCAGAGATAGTTGCTTTTCTGAGAGAATGTCAGGGGTAGAGATAATACATATTGGAACCATGAACTGCTTTGGCTTGAAAAGATGGTCTTCCTTTTGTCAATATCTTCTCTTGCTTTCAAATATTTAAAAACTTGTATTTTAGTGTGCCTGGGTGGCTCAGTGGGTTGAGTGTCCAATCCCTGATTTCGGCTCAAGTCATGATCTCACAGTTCTTGAGTTCGAGGCCCGTGTTGCACTCTGCTCACAGCACTGAGCCTGCTTGGGATTTTCTCTCCCTCTCTCTCTGCCCCTCTTCCACTCATGCTCTCTTTCTCTCAAAATAAATAAATAAACTTCTTTAAAAGATTGTATTCTACTGTGCTCATTAGATGATTGCTAATGGACATGAATTTCCAGATAGCAAACACAGTTAACCATTTCATGAAAACCAGAAGATAACTCTGATAACTAAACAATGAAGAATGATTTAATTTTGCAAAAAAAAAAAAAGTCTAAAGTTTAAAACCAAAGCCCACTTTTATTTATTTATTTATTTTTAATTTTTGAATGTTCATTTATTTTTGAGAGACAGAGACAGAGTGTGAGCGGGGGAGGGGCAGAGAGAGAGGGAGACACAGAATCCGAAGCAGGCTCCAGGCTCTGAGCTGTCAGCACAGAGCCCAACGTGGGGCTCGAACTCACGGAGTACGAGATCATGACCTGAACTGAAGTCAGACTCTTAACCAACTGAGCCACCCAGGTGTCCCCCAAAGCCCACTTTTAGTATGACCCTTTAAGAGAAAGAAAAATCTGGAGGCAAAATATTTTATAAATTCACAATTCACATTCAGGAACCTGGACATCATGGTGAAACATTTGTGGCCACTACTGATTATAGATCTTGGGAGACAATTCATGAATTTTGAATATGGGTCAGTCTTCTGCTTCCTTTTCAATTACCTGAATATTGAAGACCCTGCCACGCTCCCCCCATCTTGTGTGGCACTTGCTGACTCCTCAGGGAACCGCATGTCTGGGGGAGGACCTCGATTTCAAGCTGATGTCAATTTAGGAAACACTAAATGAGACCACTGCCAAGAAGTGCTTGCTCACCCTCTTTCAGCAGCAGGGGAATCTCCCTTTCCTTTTCTGGGTGAAGCTGAAGAAAGGATTCATAAATGAAGTCCAATCCTTCTCACCAACCCCAGCCCACACCTCCCAGCAATTGAACTTGAAAAAAAAAAAAAAAAAACTTGGTTAAAACCACTTCCTATATTTGAAACTAGCGAGGGCTAGGCACAATTTCCTGGCTCACCAAAGCAGCCTAATACTTATAGAGAGCAACTGCGGACTGTCATAGAGGCCAGAGGGACCACAGCCAGGATGACAATCCTGCGCGGATTGATCCTTTCACCCCTCATGCTCTCAGCATGACACAAACAAGAGGCTGACAGGAAACCTGGCCTTCTGAAGAGCTGGTCCCACGTGCCAGGAAGATGGAGCCAAGCCTGCTGATGTGGGGAATCCTCACATTCATCGCGGCGCCCAGCCACATGACAGGTAAGGGTCACGGGTGCCCTCGGAATCTTAGGAAGCCTCATGGACGTTAGCTCGCTCTTCCTAGCCCAGAATCAGGGGCGTTCCTGAGTAGAATGTGCGTTCAAAGGGGTTGAATCTTGGGGTCTATCCCTGGTCCATGACCCAAGAGGGTCCCATGTCATGCTTCAATCGTCCCTGATCTATACACAGAGCTTGGGATGGGTGGGGGGTGGGGGGGAATCTCCTGTCCCTCAGAGTCTTTGTTAATTCTGGGGTGAATAGAGTGGCAGGATATTTGAATGTTAACAGAATACAAATGAGCAGATTCCTCAAGAAATGTTGTCTTATTTTCCAACGGATTCAGTTTTTCGCCACACCTATCAGCTGTAAGATAACACTAAAAATCTACTAGGAATCTAAGACCAGGTTAATGTCCTGAGATGTCAGTAACTAATGTAGGAAACATCAGGATAATTTAAGATCTCAAAGAAGCTTGGCTTCGAAAATGTGTATGCTGTTTTTTACTGCCTCAGGAAATAATACCTAGGATGCTCTTTACATGTGCAATGTTATAGAAATTTTAGAAAACATAAGCTTACTCACTTTCAGAACTCTACTTTTTCTTATATTCTTGTATGGATATATGCATGTATACATATGTGTATGTATATACACGCACACATGCAAATTTTGGATTTCATTCATTCTTTCAAATGGGTTTTGTCAAAGACTTTTTTTTTTAACAAACAAGAAACCACTAACTTCTACCTCAAACCACCTTTCCTAATTGAGTGTGAATTTTCTAATAACTTCTTCTCTTCCTTACCCAGGAAGACAGATAAGATATCAAAGTTTACAATTTCATAGCCTTAATTTCTAGATGTATAATAATGCTAACTGGCCACAGAAAGAAGTGTTAAGAAGTGAAACATGATGGTGCATGTAAGGAGTCTTTTTGTTTATTTGGTGAAATAGCCAGGTTATGTTGGGCTGTGAACTGACCCAAGGGTAGGAATTTCTTCACTGTGGAGTTGAACAGGGCTTGGTTTTTGAAAGGCTTATAACATCACTTCTGTTTCAGCATGGTCTTTGCACAGTGGGAGGACAGTCCAAGTTAGAACGGAAACGTTTTTACAATAAATCATAACCTATCTCTAGGGAACACATTTCAAGTAAACCTGTGTTATTGTTAGTCACTGGTGAGCTATCTGAAGATATGAATGGTCTTAGTGGCAGGGAGGCAAGTGGAAGTATTATGAGGACTCTTTCATTCACTCTGGTCTCCAAAAACCTATTCGATACCTCTTAATTCCCTTCTCAACGCTGTAGGAAATATGAAAACGAACAAGACATAGTCTCAGTCCTTAATAGACTTAAAACCTAGCAAGGGAGACAAAGGCATGGGTGTCATAACAGCACTTCAGAGAAGAATGTGATGAGATCTATGTGAACAGGGTGCAAATGATGGCAGCTTGCAAAAAAGACTCCTGGGAGATGAATAATTTTTCCTAGGTGGAGATTCCAGAAAGAAAGGTGCCTATGACAAAGACACAGCAGAGCACAAGGAAACAGCAAGTGCTCCAGTGTCCCCCTGACACTGGATGGGCATATGGGGACATGGAAGATCAAGGCGGAAAAGACAGGACAGGGTCAAATGAACGATCCAAGGCCTTGATAGCAAGTTATAAATTTTAACTTCATTTGGTAGTCCATGGACGACTACCAGAGAATAAAAATGACCATTTATAGAGTACCTTCTCTGTGCCAGACATGTAAGTCTTATTTTAATCTCCATACCCACTTTGCAAAGTGGAATGTCACAAACTCAGTGGATGAAAAACCTAAATCTCAGGAGTCACACAGATAGTGACAGAGCTGGGGGTCAAACCGGGGGCTCCCTGACTTACACTCTTTCTGTTCACTGCAGACACTTCTGTGGAGGTGACTCTGGCATAGAGTGGAGAGAGATCAGGTGCACAGAGTCATGTCGGGAGGCCCCTTCAATAGTCCAGTCAAGAGACACATGAGAACCTGGTGGCCAAAGAGGATGAAATGGGTTGAGTTTCTGGGATTAATATCTGGTTTAAGAACCACCTCAGGGTAAGAAATAATCTCATTTTAGACTTTCTTCTCCAAGAGGAGGAGCTCAGTCTTAAAATAAACAAGAAATTTTACTCCTCAGAGGGGAGAAGTCTCTAACGAAAATCAAACAGACCATCAGCAGATGCAATTTCTAGCTGATTCATAAGGCAGATTTTCATTCTGAAAATTTCCAAAGCCACCAATTAAAATGGTGATGGGTTACAGAGGATGTATTAGTCAACCTGCGTGTTTTTAGTCTCTGTATTACTGGGTCCTGGGATGTGGTTAAAAAGAGAATTCTCCTGATGTTACCAACATGGCACGTTAGTGAAGGCACCTTTCTCAGAATTGTGGAAATTCTGAGAGTTTATCTATGCTTTGATCATCTTTCTTTCATTCTAGGAATTCTGTGATCAAATCTTCATCCCCTAGACTCAAAAAAAAAAAAAAAAAACAACCAAAAAACCAAAGTGTGGAAACCCATAAAGATGATATTTTTGTCTAATTATCCCTTCTTGTAAAGACAACTACCCACACTGGAATTTCCCATTTGCACATTTGTCATTAAAACACGAAATGTTTAACTCTCCACTTTTAATCATTCAATTTCTCTGGTCCCTGAGTGTTATTACCACGGTTAACCTTGCTCATCTTCTGGATATACCTGGGAAAAACAGGACTTTGGTAAGCTTAGGGAGTACCTCATAGAAGAGCTGCTATTTTCTTTAAAACAGCATCTTAAATCGGGAGTGCTCTATGTCACCTGCACATATGCTCCATTTTATTTCATTTTATTATATTTTACTTTATTTTGCAGTTTTAAAGTATTTTGTTGAACTCAAGAGATCCAGTGTTATCACTTGGATTATAATCCACACCAAAGTGATGAGTAAGATATGTTATAACTTGTTTTCATTCAGAGCTTTGAAATCCAGTATGTGTTCACCGTTAACAGCATATTCCATTCCAAAGTTAGATCTGATTAGATACACTTGATCTAGATCTCCGTTTTAGATTTGAGAAAAATGAGGCACACACACAAAAAGTGACTTCGCTCACTGTCAGTTAGAGGTGCTAGCAAAGAACTCTTGTTGACCACTACAACTCTACCACTTGACCCCACTCATCTCAAAGAGAAGTATTCTTAAATTTCTTTGGCTAAGTCTCAGGTTTTAGGACGTGATGTCTTCTGTGCAATGTCTTGTTGAAGTCATTCCTGTAATAGCTAGAGTCACCTTTGAGTCAGGCTATCCCTCAACATGGTTGTCATTCAGGTGAATTTCCCTGCCCCCTTCATTGCCCAGGAGCCAGTTAGAAACTTCAAAAATTAGGAGTTTCCTTAGAAAGTAGGACATGTCTTCTGAGGTCAGTGGAAAGAAGAATTGGGGGGAAATTAAACTTTTCAGGGAGCTGAAAGTGAGCCAAGGTGCCTCCCAACAAACATTGTTGGAGGAGCATGGCTTTTGATAAATCGCTCTACCTCCCTGGGCCTCAGTTTCTCTCTGTAAGATGAGAAAGTTGACAGAGATGACTTTGGAGTCCCCTGTGCCTCTGTCAAAAATTCTGAAAAGGAAATAAATGAAGCTCTGCTTAAAAGGCATTTTCAAGCTGGGGTATTTTTGGGTGAAAAAGTTTCCAGACTGAAGACATACATACAGGGTCTGGGTTAAGGAGGCATTTGGGTGGCAAAGTACCAAAGCCTGACATCTCATTGCAGGTTATTTCCAACTCTTGAAAGGTGCTGCAGGGCGCTCGGATGCGACCCACTGCTTCCGTGAAGGCTGTAGTTCTGAGCACGAAGGCAAAAACAGCACGGAGGGCTGCTGAGGGCCTTCTGCTGCTTGCTTGCTTCTTCAGGGACTCTTCCCTCTCAAATGATTTCCTTGTTTCTCATGGGAGACGTCTCACATGGGTGGGGACCTGTCTCTCTTCTCTTTATCACAGCCCATTCCCCGTGAGAAAAGGAAAGATTTTCATTCAACTGATGGCTTCAAAAGTTAGAAGCCCTCTGTCCTTGAAAATGCTTAGATAGCGGGGGGCTGGCTGGCCACTTCTGGGGGATGCCATCGAGGGGTGCACAGGCTGGCTGGGAAGATGGACAGAGTGACATTCTGGCCTCCTTCCAACAACTTTCCAGGCTGGTTCTCCTCTCGCCTTCCAGCCTGTATGTTTTGCTTCCTCTCTTAGAAAATGAAATTAAGGATATTCAATTGTTCACATTTTTCCAATCCAAGAGCTCACGGCTCACACACGAGTGCGAATTCTTGGCTTTAGCAGAGAAAGCACAATCCAATCCACTCTCTGCTTCCTGTCCCGAACTCTGGGCAGCAGTGAGAAACAGAAAAGGCAGAACTTGAACCATAGGTTTATATGTGTACAGTGAGCTTCCAGTAGCCAAGCATAAGGAGTAAAAAGTTCCTCCACCCCTTTCCTCTCCACAAAGTTCAGGGCTCCCCTTCTCTGGAAGAGGTTAGGCACAGCCTAAACCAGCAGGTGTCAAATATGGTGCAGAGATTTCCCAAACCAGGCAGGAGGCTGAAGCGAAAGCCTCCGATCCCATTGGACTTAGAATCTGTGACTGCTTCTCTCCAGGCTGACAATGCGCGCCATGCTGGCTTCGCTCTATGGCCCACCTGGGACCCCTCGGGATTTCCTGGGGGGTCTCTAAACTTCCTGAGATCCTCATCTCTTCTTCAGCTCTTGTCTAGGTGGGTGTCAGGTGAGAAAAGCTCAGAGATCCTTAGAGACCTTCCTCCTCTCCTGTCTTCCTAAAAACTTCTTCAGGAAACTTCTGCTTAGGTGGAGGCAGCCAGTGGCCCAGGTAGCACCAAGGATACACACACACACACACACACACACACACACACACACACAGAGAGAACTTCACTGCATCTTTATCAACTCATTTGTCACTCCTATACACAGTGCCTGAACCCCTC